TCCCTCCAGCCAGCGGCGGATCGCCGTCGAAAACCCAAGTTATGCCATTAGGGCATTAAGCGAGCTCTTAGCTCTAAGAATGACTTGATTTAACTAAGAGAGAGAAACACCGAACTTTGCCTGGTCCGAGCAGCTCCCACGAGATGGCTTGCGTGATAGGGGGGTTGTTACCGTAGCCGCAATGGGATTAGGCACCCTGTTAAATTTCCCACGTCTAGTGGCGGCGACGAAAGTAGGACTATGATCGCCCATTCTCGAATTTTTGCATGCGAATGGCGAAGGGCGTTGACGTCCATGCCAATGCCGCTGAAGACGTATTCTTGAGGGCCAGTCCGCTGGATGTGGAGTTGTTCGAGGAAGACATCCCAAGCTCTGTAATACTTGGATCGGGACAGCTCTAGCGCCTGCGGTGAGAGAATTCAAGGATTTTCACTCCACTGAAACGTCTGCCGAAAATCGTTAATCTCCTGGGGCCAAATCTCATCCCCTTAAGGCCGTCAAATCCATCCCTTTAGGCCGCCAGGAAAGGGGCTCGGAGAGGTGCAGTTGCCAGTCATGTTCTTCTTACTAACTGTTCGATGATGACCGAAGGTTTGGTAGATGTTCCTGTACTCGTGCTAGGATTACCTCCATTTGCGCGATATCTGGCCTTATTGTACAGTCGAGCTTATTAATCAAATCCGGATAACGCTCGAACGACGGCGATATGATATGTGTTACACTCGGTCGATGCGGGCTGACGCTCGTGTTACGTGCACCATGCGTGATCCAGTACACCCACGCTATGAGATACACATCCTCCTTCCCAGTAAGTGCCAGAAGCGCGTGTGTCACTCGCCGTGTTTTAATGGCGACGGGAACGGAAAGATATTCACTACAAGTAGTGGCAGTGCCTGCCAAGTTGTAGTCCATATCTTAACAAGCAATGCCAGCGATTGGTCATAATTGAAAAATGATGATAATAGAATATTACCCTGCGTTAGAAATGCTCGGTTGTACCTTCTGAGCCTTTTTGCTTGCGTACGTCCCCGATAATGTCGCAAGCACCTATGTCTCACCAAGTGCAGAGTGATGCGATGCCTTGGAAGGGTCAGAAGGTGCGAAAGTAATTATTCTAAGCTCAGAAAAATTCAACCGAGATCCTGAGCACCCACCCATGTACATTCAATCACCCACTGTACGAACCATAACCAATTACAGAATGGTGGGTGCATTGGAACGTTTTTACTGGATTGGAAGTAATCATTTCTGTAGAGAGAGAACAGATTGTCTATTTACTGATTAGTGCAAGATCTCTGGTAGGTAGTTAACCACACTAGCAACGCTGGAGGGTCCAGGAATTGCCTACGGCTTGCAGCACGTCTATGAACGCCGGACTGCCCTCTCGGTTCTGATATAAATATGTCGTAACATGCAGATAGTTGGGCTCCACAGACGGCTGTGACCGCCCTGCAATGGAGACGTTTGATGAGCGCCCTCAGTTGGAGCTGAATCCTATTCCAGATCAAAGTTTCACTGGCTTGTATCGGAATAAGCGCATTGTTAAAAATCCTATCCACGCGAAGTTGCCAGAGCATTGTGATAATGACGGTCACTGCGACTTCTCAAATCGTCCTCCAGGCTGTGGCGAATAGATCAATGTCTTCCGGGTACCGGGCTAACAGCTTTGCTGTGACCTGCGGCGAGATGCGTGGTACGCTACAGTTTGCGCAGTGTTCGAGCCAATCCAGGAGGTGGGTAGGATGGTGAGGTGTACTCTCCCAATGACTGATAAGCCGGGCCCAGATTGCCTGAGCACGGGGACATCCCCAAAAGAGATGCTCCTGGGTTTCCTTTTGGCCTACACATTCCAAATATGTGCATGATCCGTCCGGGGGTCGGTTTTGGTACCAAAAGTTTAGCTGTCCGGTAGCGTGTCGATATCGTGTCCATAGCTGGTATTCCGTTACCGCATGGCCGTGATCCCATAGCTGAGCCGGCGTGACATCTAAAGCTGTGCGTTGCCACCGCGTAGTCTGGCTCTTGGTGGCTAGCCGATCGATGACCTGCTTCAGCGGTGCTACGAGACAGCGCTTTGTCGCCTGAAAAGCTTGCTGTTTCAGGGTAGTGAATAGTCGATGATTGGGAACCGTAGGAGGTGTGGATCATGGACAGTGGTGAATCTGTGGGTTGGAAAAAATGACAACTCCATGTCGGCTGAACTTGCTCTCCGCTTGTTGGGTGAGTTCCTGCGATATCCCTCCAGCCAGCGGCGGATCGCCGTCGAAAACCCAAGTTATGCCATTAGGGCATTAAGCGAGCTCTTAGCTCTAAGAATGACTTGATTTAACTAAGAAAGAGAAACACCGAACTTTGCCTGGTCCGAGCAGCTCCCACGAGATGGCTTGCGTGATAGGGGGGTTGTTACCGTAGCCGCAATGGGATTAGGCACCCTGTTAAATTTCCCACGTCTAGTGGCGGCGACGAAAGTAGGACTATGATCGCCCATTCTCGAATTTTTGCATGCGAATGGCGAAGGGCGTTGACGTCCATGCCAATGCCGCTGAAGACGTATTCTTGAGGGCCAGTCCGCTGGATGTGGAGTTGTTCGAGGAAGACATCCCAAGCTCTGTAATACTTGGATCGGGACAGCTCTAGCGCCTGCGGTGAGAGAATTCAAGGATTTTCACTCCACTGAAACGTCTGCCGAAAATCGTTAATCTCCTGGGGCCAAATCTCATCCCCTTAAGGCCGTCAAATCCATCCCTTTAGGCCGCCAGGAAAGGGGCTCGGAGAGGTGCAGTTGCCAGTCATGTTCTTCTTACTAACTGTTCGATGATGACCGAAGGTTTGGTAGATGTTCCTGTACTCGTGCTAGGATTACCTCCATTTGCGCGATATCTGGCCTTATTGTACAGTCGAGCTTATTAATCAAATCCGGATAACGCTCGAACGACGGCGATATGATATGTGTTACACTCGGTCGATGCGGGCTGACGCTCGTGTTACGTGCACCATGCGTGATCCAGTACACCCACGCTATGAGATACACATCCTCCTTCCCAGTAAGTGCCAGAAGCGCGTGTGCCACTCGCCGTGTTTTAATGGCGACGGGAACGGAAAGATATTCACTACAAGTAGTGGCAGTGCCTGCCAAGTTGTAGTCCATATCTTAACAAGCAATGCCAGCGATTGGTCATAATTGAAAAATGATGATAATAGAATATTACCCTGCGTTAGAAATGCTCGGTTGTACCTTCTGAGCCTTTTTGCTTGCGTACGTCCCCGATAATGTCGCAAGCACCTATGTCTCACCAAGTGCAGAGTGATGCGATGCCTTGGAAGGGTCAGAAGGTGCGAAAGTAATTATTCTAAGCTCAGAAAAATTCAACCGAGATCCTGAGCACCCACCCATGTACATTCAATCACCCACTGTACGAACCATAACCAATTACAGAATGGTGGGTGCATTGGAACGTTTACTGGATTGGAAGTAATCATTTCTGTACTTCAACGCTCATACTAAGATGTAGTGTAGGATAGCTATAAATAATTGTACTTGACATAGCAAAAGCTAGTGAATGGATTGTCATCGCCAACGACGATAAAATACAGTTTACTTTTTCCCTAAACCCGTTTCCGTTCGGTTGCTTCGTGCACTCATTGTGCATGTGAGATTTGATCAAGCGTAAGGAAGCTGCCACTCTTCTAGCCTCACTTTTGAAAGTTACCTTTGTTTGCTTCATACCTTCAAGAATCATCATTCATTCCTTCGGTCATAATGCGCTTAGTAAAAGCCCTTGCTGCTGGTCTTGCGTATACTCTTTTTGATGTATCCAGCTCTGTAGCTGATGATGACGTGGGGATCATGAGTTTTAATGTTCGCACCTCGATCGCAAATGACCCGTGCCCGAGCGGCTGCTGGGATGTACGCAAGGAGAGAGTAAAGAAACTCATTGAGAAGTATAAGCCCGATATTATCGGCGTCCAAGAGGCAGCTCCCGACCAAACCGCGTTTTTCCAGAATGTGCTGGGGTTCGCAGCCACTGGAGAGTGTTCGGGCGAATGTCAATACAACGAACGCAACAGCATATTCTTTGTAGAAGCGCGCTGGGAATTGTTGAGCACATCGTCATACGCGTTGGTACGTTGTTAGCGTTAAGCCATGGTGGCGGTGTTGTTACTTTCCTCTCGTCATGAAACTAACCGATCTTTATGACTTGATTTAACAGAGCGCAACTCCTGAAACACTGCCGTCCAACACTTGGAGTCTTGAATTCCTCCGTTCTGCGGTCATCGCGCGCCTTCGCGACAAGAAAACTTCGCGCGTGATATGCATGCTGAACACGCACTTTGATATCTCTCGTGGTCAACCCCAGTCAGCGGTTTTGTCTGCAAAACTGTTGAGCCAATTTTGCCAGCATGATGACACTGTAATTATGACTGGAGATCTGAACACTGCGCCTAGCAGCCTCGCTGTCCAGTACCTCCTGGGCAAGACCTCGATTAATGGGATGTCGACGCCCATCTCGTTGTACGAAACGCTGACTGCTGCGGGTGCAGGCGGGAGTACGTGGATTGGGCCCTCTTTTGGGAACATGCTAGTATCGGACAAGATTGATTACATTTTCGCTCGCCGTGACGCCCACACATGTCTACGCAGCGGGATGGTTTTAGCTGACTTGTTTGACGGGTATTCCAGCTCCGACCACGCAGTGTTGCTGTCCAAGTTCTGCCTAGGAGGTGGATGTCAAAAGTGCATTCCGTAGTTTGCACGATACAGCACAGATGCATTATGCATACATAAAAATACCTACATCACAGTTGTTTTTGTGTTAAGATCAATGGATTAACAAAGAGATTTATTTAGTCATTTGCAACTCGAATTAGCAACAATTGCTATTATTTTTTTTTATTGTATACAGCTCGCATGGCCCACATTAAGTTCAAGCTTCCCTCGTGAAAGTGACATTTCATCGTTAATTATATTTTCGCAGCATTCCGGTCCAGCTCCCACCACCATGGACACGCTGATCTTGGGCGCCCATCGCCTGAGCAGCAGCTCAAGCTCCAGTTCCAGCTCCTCCAACTATGGTGACAGGGATCCTATGAATCATAGTCGTAAGCTTCAAGCACAGATGCCTGCACCTACCCCTCCTCCTCCAAGCTCTCCTCCGCCAGACATAATGCCGCCACCGCCGCCTGGACCTCCTCCACCTGTTGATCTAAACCAGAAGACAGCGCGACGACCAAAAATGGATACTTTGACGAGTAAGAAAGGTACGCCAAAGACACCATCTCAATCTCTGTCGAAGAGTCAAGAGAAGAAGCTGCTAACGACTCGATACCAACCGTCGTCTTTAGTGAAGCAGGGACTACTGAACCTGAGAGTATGCAAAATGAAGAAGAGCAAGAGGAAGAAGTGGAGAACGATGATGTGGACGCGTATTCGGATGAGTCAGATGTGTTTGAAGAGGATATGGAGGCCATATTGTTTGCTGAAGAGGAGGAAGACCGACGCAAAGGGTACATGGACTGTCTGACCGAGACGCATTTGGACAATGCTGAATACCCGTACCCAGCGTATCTTGGCAAGTTAGCCACGCTGTTCACAGAGCAAAATGCGCTTGGGAAAAACCCTGAGGATTTTATTTATTGCAACAATCTTTTGGTACGTTGCAGACCATTGACTATAGATGGTAAAGAGAGATATGAGATGATTGATTGCTCACTTTATGCTAACTGTAGGTTAATCCAAGACAGCTGAGGCTGTTGGACACTCGAACTGCTGCACTTGAGCGAGAGAAATGGGCACAAGTGCGGAAATCTACCGCGTTGAAGGCGAAAGAAGAAGAGACGAGGAGAAGCCAGGAAAGGTAAGAGGACTCTTATGTGTCCTGCTATTTAGTAGTTTGTTAGGATCGGTTGGTAACTTGAAACTGATCTTTTGCGCGATGACAGACTGGCAGAAGCGCTTGAGCCGCCTGCTAAGAAGATCAAAATATCAGAAGCTACTATGAAGGCTTTGGAGTCCAAGCAATATGTTTCTGCGAGCAGCTTGAAACTTTCAAATAAGTCGTCGCGAAAGCGAAGTCGAAAGAAACCCACAGCACCAATTGCATCCATGACACCAGCAACGCCAGCTTTATCAAGTCTCTTGAATACATCGAAAGGTAGCAGGAGAAAGGCAAAACCTAAGTCGTTGTCGGTACAGACAACGAATGTCAACGAGAAAGTAAACGGAAAACCCGTTGTTGGTCCAGCCATTAAGAAGAAAAAGACGACGGCATTTAGCAGCCATGCGAAGAAGAGCACAACCGATGCAACTTCTGTGATATCCAAGACTGCGGCTACCGGTGCGAAGGCTATTAAGGCTGCCAAGAAAGAACAGGTTAAGCAAAAAGCAATTCTTTCGGCTAGCGATCTCAAGGAAGTCAGAGTACAAGCTCAAATTGAGAAGAACCGATCTGAGGCGGACGTAGACCGTGGCAACGAAAGCTCGTCGTCTTCCTCGTCGTCGTCTTCCTCCTCTTCGTCGTCATCTTCCTCCTCGTCGTCGTCTTCCTCCTCTTCGTCGTCATCTTCCTCCTCGTCTTCATCGACTTCAGTATCCAGTAGCTCATTTGACGATGACACAGCAAGTAATGTGGTTTAGGAACCAAGTAAGGACGGTTTTGATTTCATTTGCTTAATGTTAAGAGCTACCATCGTGGCACATCACGATCTAGTGCTTCTGGTCGTATCATTTTCACCCGTTTGCGCTGCTGACTTCTCCACCCAAATCCTCGCTGATCTCTTCCCCGATTCGAAAAGTTGATCCAGCACCTCAATCCTTGGCGGAAACAAAGCAAAGCGTGCCAACTGCATTATTGTAAAGGGGAAGTCCGGATCGATCGATGGGCTAATCTCATAGTCTGTGCGACGAATGATGTGCCCGGGGAACGCACATACCTTGGTGTATCCCGGCACTTTTGGCACTAAAGTAATGAGGCCTCCGTCCACATGGTATTCTCCTCGAAACACAGACATTCCTCGTCTAGACAAGTACCAAGGCACATAGCACGATGCAATGAGTGCATCACATAGATCATCCGTCGAGTGGAAATCATCGGTTAGCACCAAGGCTCTCCAAGGCCACATCTTCTCTGTTGCAATCGTGAGTCTTTGTGCCAACGTCTCCACCTGTAGATCACCGAATTTGGCATGGAAGATGGGTACGCAGTCGCTTCTCAAGCTTCCAGACAGTGCCATGATTGTGACAGAGCCGGGTTATGCCTTTTACCTCATCGAAAATGTCGCTTATGTTGGCGTTAGCGGCCAAACTTAAGGCAACGATGGCACCCCCAGAAGCTCCAGCGAACTTAGAGTTGGCCTGGATATAGCCAGCATCCAGCAGTCCCTGCGCCACGCCCAAGTGATACGAAACCAAGAATCCACAACCACCGAAGCTGAAGTTGTTTGCAGTGGGAGGTGCAATACTGGAGAAGCTTCGATCGAACGAGCGAGTGAGAAGAAGGCGACACATTAGATTATGTGCTCGTTAGTTATTCGTTTCCTATTTATATACTAACCGGTACGTTACTAATCGACTTGTTTAATGCAAAAAATAGAGGAAAAGTATGCGGTGCTGGGGTTGAGGGGATGGGTCCGCTAGCAACGAAACAGCTGCTGGTGGTATTGTTTACAATTCTGCGACGCGCACAAACACAATAAATACGCGAGACGCCTTTATATTACAAATGAATTTTACAGAAAGAGTTGGTGTATATTAGATTGAGCCCTGTCGTTTAGATAAAATACAATGTTTTACACACGAATGTTATGTAGTCCACGCGTATAAACCACCTCAATATTAATTGATCTTGTATTTGCTTTGTTGCAGCGAAAGCAGTTGCATACAACACATTGTCACTAACGTGAATTTTTTGTAGGTACAAATATCTGATTCAGGCTCATATAAATAATACAATGGCCTGACAATCTATTAATAGATGCCTAATCTCTTTAATCTAGATATATTAGAAAGCTTGATGTACACTATAGCTGTAAACGGGCGCTTCGTAAAGAAGATGCCATGAGCACACCTTCAAGCAGTGTGAGGAAGCGGTTATACCGTCTTAACTCCGCTTGCGTTGGTCGGTCGTTTAAAGCGTCGTACCAGCTGTTGCCGGCCGCTTAAAGTGGTCCGCGCAACGAACGTTAAAACGAGCACCTACCTGCGCCACGGAATCTGTTTCCAGTCTTCCCGTGCGCAGTGAGTATGATGTAGTAAATTCAAGACTGACTTATATTTAATAGAATTTAACTAAATATAGATCTAACTACTGATTGGTCAAATATAAAGATCGGATACGTCTCTTTGGAAGCGTATCCTTACATGCGAGCTTAGAATGTATTTAAGCTCGCTGATGATATCTGTCTGAACTTAACATACAAGTGTAATAATTGGCTCGTTACACAAATGGAAATATAGGTGTACAATGGGCGAATCATTTCTCAGGTTATGTAAATGCAAAGACAAGTTTTCCAGAACGGCACGAACAATAGCGAAGACTGTTTTCGACGATTGGTTGCGAGTAAAGTAATCCGTCACGATCGAGAGCTGGGGTTTTTGTCGGATTTCCTTTAAGCATCTAACCGGATCGCAGGACAAAAAAACGAGCTACCTTGGCATGCAGTCCCCAGGCGAATGATGCAAACATGACGCGGAAACGGCCATATTATCATAGCACCTTCGTGGGCTGCCTTTGCTTCCCTGCAACAAGCAGGAGCCGCAATTAATGCTCATGTCCACGCACAGCAAAAAGGTCATGTTTTAGTTATTGTCAAACGACAAAAAGATCGGCAATTAGAAGACGGTGACGTTGAAAGCTTTAATTGTTGTTTACGCTCAACATGATTTTATTTTTAAATGGCGGAAGACCTCTTAGCATTAAAGTAAGCTGGGGTTCCGCCAGACGTATATGCCTCTTTTGATGTGTAGAAGTCATCGGTGCTAGAAAGCAGTTGAATTTGTGCCAGTAGATAGTATGTATACGCTCTGATATTTCAAAGCACTTAATTAGAAAGTCCAATAGTTATAAAACCGTAGTTCTTTTTCGTTACTTTTTCGATTTGGCACTTTGACCTAATAAAATTGAGGTGGATGATGATTACAAAAAGGTAACTACACCTCCCCAAATTAAAGTAATTGAACGGCGCTTTGTTATTGCGCTTCACTTTGTGCTACATTCGTACTACAACAATCTCTTTACAGTTCTTCTGATCTGTTGCTGTGGCATTATGGCAATGCTTCAGGGACGCAACATCTTTCTGCGCGGCATGCTGCGTCTAGATGTTGTGCGTCGGACGTGCATCTCGCCCGTTCCATTTTCCACGTTAATGAGACGACGTCACCCCGCGTCGCTCGCGCTACCTGAGCTGGGTAATGGTGTGCTGAGTTTCTCGTCGTCGGCGCTAGACGAGCAGCTCGATAAGACTAAGAAGCTACTCAAGGTCAAGAATCTCAATGCGCTAAGCGGAATGGGGCTTAATCGACCTCCTGACACGGTCAAAGAGATTCTGAGCTTTCTGATGGGTCATTTATGGCCTAATGAGAACTCCGAGGAGGCTAAGGAAATAAAGAAGAAGGTGCTCATCTCGGCGGGCCTTGTGGTAGCGTCCAAAGCAATGACAATCCAAGTGCCTTTTGTCTTTAAAGAGCTGGTGGACAGCATGGGGGAGGTATCAACTGTCGTAGCGGGGTCACCCGAAATTGCGGTGCCTCTGGCCATGGTGCTTGGCTACGGAGTAGCGAGATTCAGTGCTAGTGCGTCATCCGAATTGGCCAATGCCGTATTTGCGACAGTGGCTCAGAAGACCATCCGAAAAGTCGCAGTGCGAGTGTTCGAGCACTTGCACGCCTTGGATCTCAGATTTCACTTGGATCGGCAAACGGGTGCACTGTCACGCATCATCGACCGTGGGTCTCGATCAATTGATTTTGTGCTGCGTGCCATGGCATTTAGAGTGGTGCCGACGTTGCTGGAGATTGGGCTAGTAAGCATCATCATGGCTACGAGTTTTGGCCTGCCGTACGCGGGTGTAACACTGGGTACGCTTAGTGCGTACACGACGTTCACGGTGCTGGTCACGCAGTGGCGCGATGAAATTCGTCGTGAGATGAATCGCCTTGAGAATGAGGCTGGTGCGAAAGTTATTGATTCATTGATGAATTATGAGACGGTCAAGTATTTTAACAACGAAGAGCACGAGACAGAGCGCTACGACGAATCGCTAAAAGGGTATCAGCAAGCGGCACTTAAAACGCAAACTTCTTTGGCGATGCTGAACGTCGGACAGAACGGTATCTTTAGCGTTGGTCTTACAGCCATCATGTTCATGGCGTGCGAAGGGATTGCTGCTGGCTCGCTCACCGTTGGTGACTTGGTGCTTGTGAATGGTTTGTTGTTCCAGCTGTCCATCCCTCTTAACTTTATCGGTAGCATTTACCGTGAAGTGCGTCAATCAGTCACGGACATGGAGTCCATGTTCAAGCTGGGTGCTGTGACGCCTGTCATTACAAATCCGGACAAAAATGTGAGCTTAATTGGCAAAGAGCCGAAATCCATTGAATTCTGCGATGTAGACTTTGGGTACAGCACGGAGCTTCCAATCCTACGCAAGACGTCGTTCAAGGTTGACGCTGGCAAGCGCGTTGCTATTGTTGGTACTAGTGGTTCCGGCAAGTCTACGGTACTCCGATTGTTATACCGCTTTTACGACCCCCAGAATGGCTCAATCCTCATTGACGGAAAGGATATTCGCCAGATAAGTCTGGACAAGCTGCGTCAGGCAATTGCAATTGTCCCGCAAGACACCGTTTTGTTTAATGAGTCAATATTCTACAACATCAATTACGGCCGTCTCGATGCGACTCCAGAGGAGGTGATGAACGCTGCCCGTGCCTCCCAGATCCACCGATCGATCGAGACGTTCCCGGATGGATACAACACTCGCGTGGGTGAGCGCGGATTAAAGCTTTCCGGTGGCGAGAAGCAGCGTGTGTCGATTGCGCGTGCAATACTCAAAGATGCGCCGATTCTGCTATTCGACGAAGCCACCAGTGCCCTAGATTCAGAGACTGAGTCGGAAATCGTGCGTGAGCTTGCATCCGTTGGCGCAAACCGCACGTCGCTCATCATTGCTCACCGTCTGTCCACGATCCAAAATGCCGACGAGATCATCGTGTTCGACAAAGGACACGTGGCCCAGCAGGGATCGCACGAGGAGTTACTGCGCGATGTCGAGGGCAGATACGCAGAAATGTGGGCTCGTCAGAATCAACACGTGCTCGGACTACTCGGCACCGTCGACGAGGACGACATCGAGACGAAGACTAAAGGTATAGAAAGAAGCCCATGATTAATTTGAAATGTTTAAACCTCACGTAGCCCACGTTGCAAAACGCTTAAGCCATCTTGGTCTGAAAACACGTGCTTACAACTAAAGACACCTGAATACTGTGCCTTGAAGCTTCGCTATCCAGTACGTCAGCGGCCAGGGCCAGATTGATGGGGACTTCACGCCAATCCCAATGAATGAAACATTGGCATGCTGCGGGTGCAGGAGGGCATACGTGGACTAGGGACTCTTTTGGGAGCCATCTAATAGGCAGCAGGCTTAATTACATCACACAGGGTATACTTGCTCAAACCACGCAGTGCCGCTGTCCGAGTTGTGCCATTCGCTTCGGTAAATGGCCGGAAATCGGTGGCTTTTGCGTTTGCGTTACACTTTGTTTGCTGTGATAAGTGTCAGATACTTATGGTGCTTATGTTTGAAACTTGTTTTTAGTTGGCAGAGTAATGCGACTGCAGTACTCAGGCCCAACACGTGAAACCTCGAGTATCAGCATGCGGCAGTGATCGTTTGTCTGCGTCACCGTGACTAAAGCCGCATCGTGCGCAACTTGACATGCTCTCCGACATCAGACGCGGTCAGATCAGGTATATGTGCCTGTGGCGCATCGCATTAGTGAGCATTGTTAGGAAGGTGACACGGTGTTCATGACAGGTAATCTCAACGCGATACTGACGGCAGCTACGATAAAGTACCTGGCCAATGAGATGCCATACACGGCTCGTACACGCGATTGCGAGCGCTACCCCCTACGTGAAAGTGGAGCCCTCCATTATGGTTGAGGCAGTGGTTGTACAACTACGGCCCATGAGTGTCATGCAAAGAGGGCAGGACTTACCAATGAGCTGAAGAGTGCACTGTACACAGTTGATTGCGGATTATCATAGTGTCGAAGTCAACACCCCTTGGCCGAGTAGATGTTTTTTCGTGAAAGATGATGCTGCAAGGCTGTGTCTGACCCAAAAACATTTTTTAATTCTGATGAAAAAGCACTGCCTTCATCAGCTCCTCGAAAAGGCAAAAAAAGGCATGTCGGACATCAGTCTACGTCCGACCAGCTAGGAATTGTTTGCAGTCATTACAGACAAGCACATTGATGCCGTCTGTCATATTTACGATTAGCTTTGCTGTAAGTGGCTGCACTGCGAGCTTCTTTTTGGTGCGATGAATACATGCAATGATGAATAAAACAGGTCTTATGTATTACTAATGGTTCAAGGTAGAATCTCGCCTAAAGAACTTTTTGCTATGGTAGTGAAATGGCTACAAAATTGGTTACAGCAACAAGCTTCTAACGAATACGACATCTGCGAAAGCCTTTACATAAAGCAGCTTCGCTGGCTACGATCGCGCTTGAATGTAGTTACTGCCTGCTTTACATGATCCCTAAAATCCTCGATAGGACTGAGACCTGGCGACACTTTTCGAGGATCTTTGATGAGTTGGCAGAATCGCGAGCTAATAGCCATCTTCGATTCCTATGACTGAGACGGTAGCATCTAGATTGTTTTCGTAAATTACTTCGTAGTAGGCACTGCTTCACAGATAAAAAGCTCCGAAGTTACACACACCATTACGAAACGTAGGTTTCTCAGGCACGAAGAACTTGTGTAGCTTTACGTCAATTGGTTTTACAAAACAAAGGACTGTATCTAATTGTTGGATATCAAAGCTTTCTTCCAATAGAAGTTTCGAATTGATTCAATGTGTATAAGATCAGTATTTGTTAGACTTTAGACTATCTGTATCTACTAAGCATCGTTTAACATTGAATACAAATCCATCATGTAACTTTCATCTCCATTGAGTCCATCACTACCTTCTTTATACGCTACAATTCGAATATGATTGAAGAGAATGTGCGAATGAATGAATCTGCTGCTTTTTTCTTTTCCTTCTCGTGACCTCACATATTTGGCTCCTTATCTTCTCTTGAGCTGCGCACACATCGCCGCTGCTATCCACGCCGCATTACCATTCTCACGGCTTTACTCCACCATTGCATCTAATTTTGCCTCCATCCGCGCCATCGCCGTCGCCAACTTGTCGATGTCAGCAGTATGTTGACCTAGTGTGTGGAACATCGCTCCCTGCTGTGTTGCTAACTGCTGCTGGGTCTCAGTGGTACGGCACAGTAGATCCATGAGCATCGTCTCCATCTTCGGGCCTGCCGTCACCTGACCATCGCCAGCGTTGGCTGCAACAAGGTCTTGCGACGAGCCAGCAACAGGTTGAGCCACCACTTGATTCGCAATTCCAATTCCTGATTCTCGAAGCGGCTCAGCAGCACGCTTCGGAGCCACCGTTTGCTGCTGCTCATCGCCTTCCACCACGTTCACAGTCTCCCCATTCTCAAAAGGTGCAGCCACAGCATTCTTGCGGTCTTCTAGATTCTTCATCGCTACGTTCGAGAGCTTTTCGAGCGTTGCAATATCACACGTATTACGCGGATGTGTATCAAACACAAACACTGTACCAAGAAGGTGACCAGATGGTGTGCATATCGGCGCGCCGGCATAAAATCGAATCTTTGCGGCACCCGTCACCAATGGATTCTTTGCAAATCGTTTGTCCAACAACGTGTCCATGACGACCATGGGCTCTTTGGACATGATGGCGTGCGCGCAAAAGGACACGGACCGCGGCACTTCATTCTGTGCAAGACCCACGCTAGCCTTGAACCACTCGCGGTCCTCGTCCAGCAAACTTACAGCCGCGATGGGGCTCTTAAGAGCGTTACTCGCAAGATCACAGATAATATCGAACACATCTTCGCTGGGCGTGTCCATGATGTCGAATCCGCGTAGAATCTCAAGGCGCGCAGACTCGCCCGGGACAATAGGAGGCTTAGGCCATGGGTGGTCCCAGCTAAAGTCCAGCGGATAGTCGAATTCTGGCTGCTGGAAGTCGCGAGTTAAGTGCGACAAATCACCCTCCGAGTTGCCAGTGGGTGAGTGAAAGTTCTGCGCCTCCCAATGCTCCTCACGCGGGGGCGGCGATGAAGCCGTGCCAGCCGTGCCAGATATGGGGGCCGTGGGCGGCGGCTGCTGATTAGCCTGGCCATTGGCGTGCGACAGGATGCAAGACATGCAGACGCGCACAAGCGACCGACCAATAACGGGCAACTCCGCCTCCTTCTTCAGCGTACAGTTGCCACACACCACCTCGCCACACTGCAACGAAATTCAACAAAGAGCGTCACATACCGGCACAATAATCAATGGCTGAAGCCTTATACCCCCTCTATAGCGATATCATCGTACCTTGCGGCAGTGGTGCTTTCGCCGGAAGCGCGTAAAGTTACGCGTGCACACGTGGCATCTGTACCGCTCCGTGTCCAGCACCCAATCGTCCTGGTGACGCAGTTGGTCGATGGTCAGCACGTCATTGCCACCGATGGTGCTGCTACCTTTTAGTCCCTTACGCGACATGGTGCGGCTACAGGCTGTCTACCTAAGTATACGAGGAGGGGAGGGGAGTCGAATCCGGGTTCTTCCTTTCAGTCTTCGTTCGAACACACACACAGGCCTAAGGACGCTGCGAGCTGACGTCAAAAGTGCGTTCTGCTCTGTGATAGGCGGCGTGGAGGAGGGGGTCTTGGTCTGACGGACAGACTGTCTTAGGTGCTCTCTCTTTTCTCGCTCGCTCCACGCGTGTACACGAGAGTCTGGGCTTCGTTGCCACGGCTGGTCTGCGAAGAGCATACAAAGTCCAAGTCTATAGCTGCCCCACAAAGAAAGACCGCTCTTGGACTTTTTCTGCATGTTCGCCCCCTCGTCAGCTGTCGTGCGGTCGCGGTGACTAAAATGGGTCACTAGCCAGAAATGAGCAATGTTTAAAGTAGGGCGATCGAGCTACCTCTGCACTTGTAGCTGTTACAAAGCAGCTATGCACAGCTTTTTTTTATTTGTCGTAATGGCGCAAACCCGACTTATAGCTTCGTGCATAGCTGATATTTGGGCGGCCGGAATCTCAATTTACTTGAAGCAAAATGACCTTAGCTCATCTCCGTCTGCAGCTTCAGCTTGACCGCTGGCTACATCTTAGTTTGCCAACTTCAGCCAAATACACACATGGCTTGAACTGTTCAAGGGATGCATCCATATATTTCCTCCGTTAATCGCACGAAGACCTATGTAGTAAGCACGCATGAGCTCTAAACATTGTTAGTTGCTGTTAAGGTGGTGGAACAAGAACCTCCATGTAAAGCTCATCTTTTGCTTTCATGACTTCGTCTATTTATGTAAGTACTGTTTCGGTAACAAAGTCAAGTCCGAACCTTTGCTGTGTGGCTCAGCAAGCAAGTCTGTAGAAGTAGGGGCTGCTGCTCTTATGACAGCAACGTTGCCCCAGCCGTACTCTTTGACTACCTAAAGAAAGATGCTGGTCTTTCGTAGCGTCTTCGGAGGATGGAAAGCATTTATCCACGATTGCAAGCGAGCTACCTACGAACACAGATGCCGTGTGTTGATTGATTGCGTGCATGTAACGGTCATGATGTCGTTTAGCGATCCAGTGGAGGTTTTCACTTGATCGCTAAACGACATCATGACCTTTACAAAGTTACGCGTTGTGTTCTGGCGTATGATAAAATACAAACTCGTCGGGCAAATTTGTCTCAAATAAGTGGTATTGTGGACGATTGCAGAGAAAAGGCACAAAGGTGCTGGTTTAGTTGACGCGAAATGCTGGGACAAGTGCATTTTGATTCCGCCTTCTTGCACGAGGATAGTACATTATATCGTAACTACGCAAACTTGCGCTTATCGCCAAAGTATTTTTAGCGGCTGTGCGAGTTGAGTAGATAGACGTTTCATACTGAATATACTCCTTCCACCCGCCAGAATTTGCAAGCCCCGAACCGCATCGTTCCTGTACCGATTCGACGGTAAGCTGCAGAAGACATCGTTGCCATCGTCTCGCAAGCAGAAAATGTGTAAAACGTCGCTTTTGCCCTGCCCAAAACGTGCTTGATTCGACAGCGTAGCTTGACATTGGTAACGCTTTGACCAATCCATGTCGCTAAATGATCAATATCCTGCCAAAATTCGTCGAGCGAAATTGTAAGTTAAATCTGGTGAACGTTGTTGATGTTGCTGCGCGGATTTCACATCATACTTTCGCGACACATTACATCACCTACCTTCAGACAACATTTATCACTATTTTCTCGTCATTTCGTAAGTGCAACCATGGCGAGCCGCCTCAAGGAATACCGCTACTACCTCAGCAGCGGCGTGAGCATGGGCATTTCCGTCAAGATCTCACTTTTAGAGCTAGCTCCTGCACTTGGATGCTCTGTCAGTGGAGATGCGCCTAAACGTGCAGTGTCCGAGGCACCAATTGCTGGACTTGAGCAGCTCGCAGGCTCGTCGTCCGAGGTGCGCAATTCGCCCATAAGCGAGATTTTTTTGACTGCTCAGGTATTTTCCGATGGTCTCCCACTGCACTCCATGGTTATCAGGTACATTTACGTATGTCTTGGTCTTTCTTTTCTCTTTAGTGCCCTTATAAAGATCGTGGTGTCTATTTCCACGCAGCTCCAAGGGTCCGACCAAGTGCAGCAACTCCACCATCTACTGGAATGAGTGGATCTCCTTTCCTGTGCGCTACCGTGATCTTTCACGTAATTCTCTCCTGGCTATCACCATTTGGGGCGTGGGCTGGGTCCCTATTGGTGGTTCCACCATCTCTTTCTTCACCAGGCAGGGCGTGTTGCGCGACGGTGTGCAATGTCTTCGCATCTGGGAAGGTTGCGAAGCAGACTCATCTCCAAACACCACAACTCCATCTGAGATTGATGAAGAGTGGGTGAGACAAGAGTGTTTCCGACTAGACAAGCTCCGCGAGAAGTACGAACGTAAGGAGATCGCGCGCAACGAGTGGATGGACAGCGTAACTGATCGACGCATCGCTCGCATTCGACGAGGCAGTGAACCACCGACGAGAAAGGATGCGCTTGGGCCCTTTTGCTCGTACCGTAAAGACGCCCTTTTGTGGCTCGAAATGCCGTATTTTGGAGATGTCGTCGTGTATGAGGAGGAGCCCTACTCGCAACGCAACTTGACGTCTTCATATACTGCCGACATGGGACCCAGACGGATGAATTATGAAAATGGAAACACGTCGTCGGCTACTGTGTCGTGCGACTCCCACACACTCAGTGGATCGTACGACCTGGCCACAACTGTGACGCCTGCTGGATCGAGAGACCTACCAAGTCTTGTGACCGTGTGGGATCCTGACCTTAACGAAGATAACCCGGCCGAACGCAAGTACCGTCGGCTTGCTCGCGACATCCTGCGCGGATCGATTGATCCCAACCTCAAGCCCAGCCGTGACGAAAAGGCACGCATTGAGCTTTTGCTAGCAACGCCAACAGATAACTTGAAGAATGAAGACAAGGATTTGCTGTGGAAATTCCGCTACACTCTGACAGACAACAAAAAAGCGGTAGTGAAATTTCTGCTGTCGGTTGATTGGAAAGACGAACTAGAGGTGAAGCAAGCGACGGATCTGCTATCTCAATGGTGTGAAATCGATATCGCCGACGCTCTGAAGCTGTTAGGCCGTGAAAAGGAGTTCAAGCATGAAATCGTGCGTCATTTCGCGGTTTCTACTCTGGCGACGGCCAAGAACGAAGACCTGCTTGACTTCCTGCTGCAGCTTGTCCAAGCATTGCGGTATGAAAAACCTGGCTCGGCCATCACATCTTCTCGCGGAGCAATGAGCGGAGATGAAACCGGCAGCACAGACGGTTCGATGGCAAGTGAAAGCCTTGGTCCATTGGCTCGATTCCTTATCGCGCGGTCAAGCACAAATTTTCAAATGGCCAACTACTTCTACTGGTACCTAAAAGTTGAAGCCGGAGAGCAAACAAAGGACTCGGAGATCTTTCACACTGTTTTAAACCAGATGCTGACAGAAATGAAGCGGGACGAGGAGAAGAAACCGATTTACGACATGCTCATGGCTCAGCGTGACTTTATGAGTCACATATTGGCGATCCACAACAAGGCTCGCGAAGAGAAGGGCAGGAAAGACCAGAAGGAGGAAAAGCTGCGGCACTACCTGAAGCAGTTTCCGTGGTCGAAAGGAACTATTATCTCTTTGCCCCTTGACCCAGTAGTTCATTTAAGTGGAGTTGTTGCTTCCTCGGCAAAGATGTTCAAAAGTGCAATGTACCCGGCCGTAATTCAGTTTCAGACAGTGATTCCTCCAATTGATCAACAGCATCACACGATTATTGTAGAAGGTGAAGGTCATCATCCACCAAATTCGGGTCAGTCGATGTTTGGCGGCAGCGATGCCAGCATTATACGTGAATCCTTGCCGACCCGTATGATCAGTCTCCTACACCGCGAAAAGGAAGGACCGATGTACAAGTTCATGGTGAAGAACGGAGACGATCTTCGTCAAGATCAACTGATTATGCAAATGTTCATTCTGATGGACCGATTATTGAAAAAGGTGAACCTAGATTTGAAGTTGACTCCGTATCGCATTTTAGCAACAGGCGCCAACGATGGGTTGATGGAATTTGTCCAAGATTCGTATCCGGTCTCGTATGTGGTCTCCCACTTCGAATCGCCACAGATTGTGAGCTTTTTACGGAAGCACAATCCGGACCCGAGTGCAGAGTTCGGAATTGCACCCGAAGTTCTAAGCACATATGTGAAATCAGTGGCCGGCTATTGTGTATTGACGTATTTGCTGGGGATCGGTGACCGTCACTTGGATAACCTGATGATGAAGTCAGAAGGTCACATGTTCCACATTGATTTCGGCTTTGTCTTTGGAGCTGATCCCAAGCCCTACCCACCTCCGTTCAAGCTGACAAAAGAAATGGTGGAAGGCATGGGCGGCCCTACGAGCGAGCACTACCAGAAGTTTACGACCTACTGCTGCCAAGCTTATAACTGGCTGCGCAAGAGTGCTGATTTAATTTTGAACTTGCTTAGCTTGATGGCCGACTCTGGCATTGAAGAGTTATCAGCGAATCCTGCTACAACTCTATTGAAGGTTGAGGAAAAGTTTCGTTTGGATTTGACGGACGAGCAGGCAGAGCAGTTTTTCCTGGGCCTCATCAATGACAGTGTGTCTGCTCTGTTCCCGCTGCTTGTGGACTGGATCCACAAGGTTGCAACGAAGCTGAAGTAGGCAACATCGGTGCATATTCATTCTCATTACACGTATTTTTTCTTTTGTTTCGTCTGCGAATCTCCGATAACGTACGCATTGATAATTAAAATGCCTCCTCGTGGGGTCACTTTCTTATAAAAGCTTGTTGTAAACTCAGGAAAATCCGTGGCGAAAGGGCCGCTAGTTGTTTCATTCGTTCGTCCGGTGATAAACTGTTCTCAGCAACTGATTACTGCTGCTTTCGGCATGTTCCTGGAAATGCAAGTTAAGTATTTGCATCTGGAGGTACTCTTTTAGCTTGGTGTTGAATGCAGTTTTTGCACACGTTGGAATATAAAGGCAAACAACTTGACTTGGTGTACCGTGTGGACACGCATATGGCACATCCTAAGCAGTATTTGCATCACCAGCTTGTGAATACATCGCAACCGCGTAACGTTCCAGCAAGCGGACGTGGCCATCGCCGGCAGCGTGCAGAAATTTTGTGAGACCGGCATGCGGCAACTTCGCGCAGTCGCGAAGCGAGAGTACGGACGAACATACACGAGAACTCAAGGAGCCCGTCTGATGCTATGTCAACGTGCCATAGCCAGACAACCCCCAGAGCCGTCACCGCAGGTGACAAGCCCCGTACAACCACCGATCTCGAACGAAGAACCGGCGTTGCTAGCAAGGCTTAGGATCTACCAGACATCCTGCAACCACTAAAGGTTAAATAGACTCGTCTGCCTCTTTCTCAAAACTTGACTTGGTGTACTGTCACAACAGGACTGTAGCGCCCATTAGCCGCCGGTGGGATACTGTGGGAAGGTTTAAGGAAAAGTTGCGTTGACCTTATATCGAACTGCTTCTCTAACAAATTGTGTAACCGGATGAATCCTTCGCATAATATTAAACCAAACACTAAGTGCTATGAGAATATTATCTTAGCTCATATTATTGACAAATATTATCTTAGCTAATAATACTTAACATTGTTACCTTTTAGGTCGTCGAATTTCCTTAAAGTTTGAGAGGTGGGCATATTTTTGTATTTATTACGACACAAAAATCTTCGTAATTAGTACGAATTTAAACAAAAATCGAAGTTAATTTTACTTAATACCTAATACTTGGGCTTGAGGTTTCCTCAAGCGCGCGTATAAGTTAGTGACGATACGTTCTAGCCCCGTTACAGTTATGGGATAGGGATTCAACCATTATGGGAAAGGGGTTAATCGTTATGGGAAGAATCCCAAGATTTTGGCTCCGGATTTGTTTAACAAATTATTATTAGGACATAGCCGAAATTCTATAATCGACTTTACCACATAACACCTTGTTGCAGATGGCAATGGAAGGTTTTGTGTATGCAAAGGCTATGCCTATATGCCTCATGGTCATAGCTGGAACCTTAAAGGCTAGTCCTGTAATGGGCTACATTACACATATAGCATTAACACAAATAAACAATTACATATGTAGGCAGGTGCTGGGCCCGAATAGCGGGCACAGCGTGGTAATTTATTATTGGTTTATTATTGGGCCTAAAGTCCCCAATATGGACCAATGATAAATCAACCTGAAATTGTGTGGTTCCCGAAAGGCGGGAACACTGTCGTATTTATTACGACTAAAATCTTCGTAATTAGTACGAATTAAAACCAAAATAAAAATCAGTTAAATTTACTTAATACCTAATACTCGGGCTTGAGTCTTCCTCAAGCGCACGTGTAAGCTAGTGACGGTACGTTCTAGCCCCGTTACAAGTCCCGGCAATAGCCAAGCTTAAGGCTTTGCCGAGGTTTCTAGCTGGCTAATATCATGGCCTCGATCAGCCAGTCAGAAGGGCTTTCGGGAACCACATATCATCATTAATTTATACTAGTTCATTAGGCCCCAATAATAAACCATAATACAGTGTCACGCTGTGCCCGCTATTCGGGCACAGCACCTGCCTACAAATGTATATGTTTGTTTCTGTTAATGTTAAAATGCAATGTGGCCCATTACATCACCCTTTTCTTAACACAGCACTCGCCAACTGTGAGTGTTCAACATTAGATACTTCAACGCTCAAAACCGAACCAAGCAATGTCTAAACACACGAATCCTAACCCTCAGCACTCCCAAGCACCATCAGTAAGAATGCAAATCCACGTAATAAACCAAAAAATTAATTATAAACACTGTATGACTTGTCCGGAGCTCGCACTCCAAATTTACAGGAAATAATGCATAAGTA